ATAAGGGGACATGTCTAGAAAAGGAGTCCACATTCAAGGATGCAAAGAATGAATCAGTGGTTAATTAAAATGCAGTATTTGGATGACTTAATGGAACAGTAGTTTAAAAATGCTCTTTTTCTATCTGCTTGTTTATCTGGAAAACAAATAAGTACCACACAGTAATAAGAACATGATTGCTTACATGGTACCCTCATGCTCAGCTAAAGTGCCTGTGGGTTGGATTGCTCAGCTCTCCCCAAATCATAGGGAAGACAGAGGGTTGAAATTAATGTCTTGAGTTTAACCTCTTGTGTGGTTGCAGACAAGGGGAAGGAAGCCAAATTGGGATGTGAGTACCAAAGGTGTCATGTGGTTTTTAAACATAGTCCAAAGCCATATTTTCTGTTTTATGGGTAAGTGAGGACTCTGCTGGTGGCCTGAAGTTTCTAGAAGTTGGTGAGTTCAGCCAACAAACAATATTCTACGTGCAAATAACCCTCTAATGTGGTCATAGATGTTTGTGAGTTGATTAGAGCTGTTCTTGATATGACTTAAAATTCAGGCCTAACATGTCTGTAGAATGAAATAGTGTGTAATGTGATATTAGGAGGGGAAAAAGGGAGGTTTGAGAGAGGTTAGACTTCAGTGGGATTTAAAACACTTCATCAAGGGATTTTGAGTGATTTAGGCACCAAAGCTTTGGAATACATTTCAGCATGCTTTAATCTTGAGTGATGCAGGTAGCCTGTAGTGTTTGCATGATAAAATATTGTGAGCAGTTGAAATAGTTCCCCATTTAGATGTGCAGTCATAAAGATTTATTCTGTTTGATGATGGAAGTTTAATAATATCCAAGCATGAATGACAAGCAATTATATTTCTGCTGTATTATTTGCACAGAGGGACTCTCATAAAATTGCTATTCAGTACCTGTCATTTGCAAAGAAAGAGCATGAAGCAAACTTGTAATAATCAAAGGACAATAAATATCCTGATTTCAGCAGGAATGTGGCAAATTCTGGCAGGCAGTGTGATTTCTAGAGCAGTCATGTCATAAGAGAGCAGTGTCCTTTTTCTGAGTAAGTACTGCCTTTCTCTATCGATCTACTTAAATGCCTACTTGCTGAAAAATCAAAGCAATTTTGTTCTTGCCCATGAAAATCAGGGAATCACACACACATGGCATTAAAATTGTGGTTATTGAAAATGTTAATAACTCCCCAGTGGGGGTCTGTGCAATGAGTTGAACTTTACACCAAAAGAAAATGTTGAAGGTGGGGAAGAAACGTGCTGCTTTTGAGTGAAGCAGGAAGGGGAATGGAACCCGCACAGGGGCTGCTGGTTCAAGGTTTCCTTATGCCCTTGCCCACGGAGGTGTCCACAGCTCTCTCAGTGTAGTCACTGTTCCTGCACAGCCCAGCTCTTGTCCATGCACGGCCCTGGTGACTCCAAGCTGTTCATTACGTCTCTCACACCCAGTAAAGCTCAGCTCAGCTCCCTCCATCCCCGCAGCGCTGCAGATCTGGCCTCGCGTCCTTCGTGCTCCCCACACCACCTCACCCTGGTTACACAAGTCAGCCAGCGAGCCAAGAGAAACCTCTGTGCTCTCTGGCTGGAGCAGCGCTTGGTGGGAGCCAGGGTTTTGCTGTATCATCCCTCCAAGGGGCTGGGCAGGCTGGAAGGGCCAGGCTTGGGGCTCAGGGGGGCTGCTCGTTTCCCGGAGCTGAGGGGAACTCAGCCCTCTCCCCAAATCCTGCCCTGGCAGCCTCCACAGCATGAGGCCTCACGCTCTGGTGGGATCTGTCACCTGGGGCCTCGTGGAGGGGACTGTGGGGTGTGAAAGGGGAGGATTGAGGGGTTTGGACGTGTGCGACGCCCGTTCACCAGCCTGGGGCTGATCTGTCTCTCTGTTTAGCTGGTTTCTGTCTCCAGGTTTTCCATCGCGCTCCAAGGCACCGTGACAAGTGTTTGTTTATTGCTCTAGGCCTATTCCCGAGCAGCAAAGCATAACACACAACATCTAAACAAAGAGAGTAATGTGGGCTAATTGATTCCTGATTCAGGGAAACAAAAGATAAAATCCTAAGTAAACTAAATTTCCCTAAAGCTAAATAAATAACACTTCCCACCTACTTCCTCCCTGCTTGGGCTCCTCCCTGTGTACAATAAAATGGCCACTCATGAAACACACAGCTGAATTAAAAACATACTGGGCTCAGCTGGGGTTTGGAGGAGCATCAAGAGATGATCTCCAGGTTGTGCTGAGATGGATTTTGCTAGACACCATGGTAGCACAACGTCTGAATGGGAATGGTCCAGTGACACAGCCCACCCTCCGCTGGGAGATGGGGCTTTGCTTGTCCAGCTTCTGAGCTGGGGCATTTGGGCTGCTGTGTTCCCAGAGGTGAGCTCAGTTCCTGGGACTCAGCTCCCCCTGGTTTCTCTGAGGCTTCTGCTTTCAGTGGTTGGAGAGCCTTCTTCAGCGGGCAATTCAGACTATATAAATCCTATATTGACTTTACTATTAGAGGGGCTTTTGGATAGAAGTTTTCTTAAATGCCTCAGTGGACATCTTCCCTTCTTCTGGATCACTCATTGCTGTTGTAGGAGCCCAGGACAGGGGATGCCATCAGTTACAGACATTATACAATATGTGCTGTGTGCCAGATGTCTGTGCCTACCTCTGTCCACACTCCATAAAGGAATGCCTATGACTCTAAACTCTTCTTCCAGCAGCAGCTGGCACCAGGGCTTCCAAGAGAAGGATTTTGTCTGCCTGGCACGACCCCTGTTGTAGAAAGATGGCTGGTCACATCATGCCTCATGTCTTCATGTGGGGTGGAGCACACGTCTCTTCCCTCTGCTCTGCTCCACAGTTGCCCTTAAATGTGCTTGAGCATGGATTCGTATCCCCAAAGTATTTCTCCATCTCCTTGAGAGAGTCCCATTGGGTAATCTTTATTGGTGACTGTAAACTGACTGTGAAAATCCGGGCCTCCTGGGCTCTTTCCATTTCATTCTCTATGGAGCAAATCCTGAAGGCCTTTCTTCCAGTTCCTGTAAGTCCCATAATGGGGATTTATCCTTCCCAGATTTGCTAATATCACTGTTGCTGGAGGGTATTCATGAGCTGAACACAAGATATTGGTGCTGGTCCAGGGATGGCTGGTTGATATTATATGGGCTGTTTTATACTGGGGCTCAGAAAAGATAATTTGTTTTTGAAAACTTGGGTTCAGTGGGAATATCACCTGTCAGCATTTGGCACTGTAAATTGCCGTGTCAGTTTGTTGGCAGAAACTACGAATGAGACTAAAAGTGCCCCTGATTTACACCACTCAAAGCTGATACTGTTTTTTGTTAGCATCACAGGGTACACAGGAACAGCTAAAAAACTATTCTGGAAAAAAGTTGAAGTTAGACATTTTCTTCCTACTCATGGGAGCTGAAAACTCAAACTTACTGTAAACAGCCTTGGAAAACATTTTATGTTTCCAGAGTTCTGAATCCAAACATTTACATGAGGCAGTGACACAGTTTGAGAGTAACACACTTCTTTTATTTTTGTTAGTATATTTCTTGCAGTAGGTGTACAAGTATTTTAAATACCCTTCTTGCTTTTTGGGATAAACACCTCCCTTCTCAGAGCAGATTTCGGTCAGAGGTGGGGAAAGGGAAATGTGTGCTTCCTTAAATAAATACCTATATGTGGTTTTAGTATTCCTGAGCATTTAATTTTTCAAGCAGAAGCTTTCCTTTTTTTTTTTTTTTTTTTTTTTAATAGCCATCATTTAGTGCTATGGAAAAATGTACAAGGTTGTTTTGGCTGGATGGAGCAAAGCAGTGGGTTAAATTTTAGCACATTGAAGAGCACAGAGATCTCTCTCCTGTGAAAGACAGGATTGTATTATGTAACAGCCCTGCTGCCAAATACTTGTGCTGGCAGTGGTCACCCTTCTATGCACCATTGACATCAAAACCCAATGAGGTTTGATCCAAAGGAGGGATTTGAAAGGACGTCTTGTTTTCCTTCAATCTTTACAAACTGAACTTGTTTAAGAAGAGGGAGAAAAAAAATAGATACAGAGTCTTGTTTGATAAATGAGGAAAAGCAGTGTTTTTTCTCCAAAGTTTTGGATGTTTATTGGTTTAACAGCTATTGCTCAGAACAAGTCGTTTCTATTTACGTTGTTTATCATATCAGCTAACCTGGGGTGATGGATGGAGGGGGCTGGAGGTTGTGCATGTGTTTGCTCCACAGGGGCTCTCTGACAGCTCACCTTAGGGTCTAATATTTACACAGAGTCATCTTGAGCATTCAATAAACAGGAGTGAACAAATGTCCTGCTCCCTATAATGCGCATGCTAAATAAAATGTATCAGCAAGGGCAAGAAACAGCGTGCAGGGGAACTGAGCCTGCTGAAAGCTGCCACTGAGCTAGAAGCAATATACCATGGTATTGTGCCAGAAAGAATAATCTTTTGCCAAAAACCAATTCTTACTAGCTTACCTAAAAATGCAAGGGTATGCTGCTGGGTGAGAGTGCAGGTTTGTCTAAACTGATGCTCGCTTTGGAAGTGGCTGGTGACGAGGGCTGGAAGGAAGGGATCAGGAAGCAGGGCATGTGTTCAGTGGTCTATCCCCTGACAGAACACTGACTGGCAGGTTAGCCCATTTCTGAGCTGGTGGTTTTAATAGCCTGTGACCCTGTGAAAGTGTTTAATCCCATTTTGAGCTCATGTGGTCACGAGCTCCACAGCTGGCATTGTGTGGAAAACTTCTTCCTCTGGTTTGTCTCAAACTTGCTCTCAGCTTACCCTGACTGAGGCTGCTTTCTCCTGATGGTGCTGTACAGAAACCCCCTGGCTCACACATGTGTGGAGAGTGCTGTTTCAGACACCTCCTGCTCGTGATTTCATTGCAGTGCAGTCACAGCTGGTTTTGGCACAGCACAAGGAGGTGTCAGCTCATGAGCTTGCCTCATCATCATCATCATCATGTTTTATGGTGGCAGAATTGCTGTGATGTAGGAATTTAAATCAAGAATGAGATGGATTTACAGGCGTTTATTAGAAGCAGCTTCCCACGAGGTGTAGTACAGTTTGGGAACCCATGGAAAAAGGAGTATGAAGTTCCTCAATTAAAATAAATAGCAGAGTTGCTGGCACTAGCAAAATGGAGACAGGAATCAACATGTGGGTAACATATTGATTATTTTACACAAGTAAAATATGTCAGATGTCAGAACACACACGCTTGCCTCAGCCTCACCCAGGAAATTCAGTATCCTCGTGTTCATTTGCCAGTAGGGAAGGTGGTGTGACCAAGGGATAAATACCAAAAATGAAATCACTGAAAGTGTCAGTGGCAGAGCTGGGGTTACAGTCCAGGAGCAATGTCTTTCAGTTATGTATTTAGTCTCATGCCTGCATTTCTGGAAAAGTATTTCTGGTCACAATATTTATTAGACGTGTTAACTCAAATGAAGTTTGACAGTTTTGCTTGTATTTCTGCTTTCATTTGAAAGTTTCAGGGCTCTCTTGTCTGTTCAACAAGTCCTGTCAAAGCTGTTTAAGGGAAAACTACAGAGGCTGGGATTATTGGTAGTTCTTTCTTGTTCATTGCTTTAGCTGCTGGCAGAGCTCTTTGATGATGGTCACTTGCAGGAACAGAAACATGCTGACAAAGAGCAACTTCAGTGTCTGTGGTTTTTCCTAACCATACAGGAGTAGAATATGAATGGTAAACAGCACTGCCATGTGATGGACTGCATTTCATGTGCAGGTCAGCACCCCCTTCTCTCCCCTAGAAGAGCTCCCAGTCTGCCAGGATCCTGGAAGCTGGTTGCTCGTAAGGTAACTTGTTAGAGGGATGAGGTTGTTTTCCCTTCTCTTTTTCTCTCTTTCTCTTTCTCTATTTTCCTTCCAAAGGCTTAGCATGTTTCAGATCAGTGCTGGGCCAATGAAAACTTCTGCATTTAAATGTGGCATATGGTAAATGCAGTCTGATATCACAACACTTCAGATTTCTCCTGTTAGGAAGGAGTAATTCTGCTGAAAGCTCTCTGGTCTAACACTGAGACGTGCAGAGATGTCAGGACATAGACTCAGAAAGCACCAAGTAAGAGCTTGACACCTTGACCTGATTTTGATTTTTTGAAGTGCACAAGTTCATGTGGCGTTCAGGAACTCTGTATCTCAGCATCTGTAAAGGCAAAGTAAATTACTGAAAGATTCTGCAGACACCACCTTGGAGGAGGGACTCAATGATGGGCCACAGAGTGAAGACTAATGGGGGCAAGACTAACAGAGTCCCTTAGAAAAGGGTGTGAAATTCTATCCATTTTGCTATCACATCCATTTCTACTTCCAATCAAGATGGGGATAAACAGAAGCATTCGCAAGTTATGCTTGTATATCCTGAAAATAGCAGCTGTACCTCTATATTGACAGCTCTGCATTTGTAGGAATGGGTAGTTCAGACAGATATGACTGAAATTCATTTATCTGAGGATCAAATTTCAAAGTTGCTTTGTCCCTTGAGAAAGCTGTTTAGGGACACAATTCTTAAACTCATCCTCATTTTCCAGCTGCATTCATGGCTGAAGATCTTGGGATAGGGACACTTGGCTAACCTTCATGCCCTGTTTATGGTTAGCTTAGGTTTGTGTGGGGGTTTAGTTCAATCTCAAGGAATCCACACTTGGATTGTGAGATTTTTTGATAATAAAAACCATGGAATGGAAAAATTTTGTAGTTTGCCCTCTTAGTGAAAGTAGAAACTGGTTAGAGGTGGACTTAGAAAAAATAGAGTTTCCTAAAAGCCTGTTTTAGCACCCCAGTTTGGTCTGGCTCCACTGATTGTGGAGGAGTTGTATTCATGTCAAAATACAGTGACAAAAGGATGGATTATGTTCTGGAATTTTTAATGCAGAAAATAAAATCACAGTTTAAGTTGGAGTAATTTATAAGTATGAACCTATTCCATCAGTGAAATTTGAAGAAATAAGGGTGTCCTCTTTCTAACAGTACATGGGCCAAAACCAGAGAGCAGGGTGTCCAAGTTTTTCAGAAACCTGGCTCAATATCCTATTTTTGGTGCTACTTGACAACTAGACTCTGCTGATTGGTTATATTAATATATAGTAAAACAGGAAAATGGTTGGGTTTTGCTAGGTAATTAATCCAAAAACTCTGGTGTCTGTAAAACCTTTACAAGATGTTATTCAGTACAGGTATTGCAGCAGGACATAACAGAGGGTATTAGCATAACACCTCAAATGCACTCAAACTTTTCCCAAATCCATCTATGTGTGGCTACCATGGGCTTGGGGGGTGGAGGAAAAGCACCAGACTTGGCAAACCCCAGAATGCAGGTTGGGCTTCCAGCATCTGCAAACCAGCTTTAGTCAGTGCCCAATTTGCAAGCCAGGCAACATGCCTAGACCCCAATATTTTGTTCTGCCCTCGTTCTGGGAACATGGCATGTCCCAGAAGCCAAGGCAAACATGGTGTTTGCTTTTGCAGGGTTATGTTTGGCTGACATTTCCTGAAGGAAAGAGTTCAGGAAAATAAATCCTAATTTTTATTGAGCATCATAATAAGAATAATAGCAGCTCATTAAACAGAGCAGTTGCATTTACCTTACTTCTGAGAGGCCAGTGGGGGAAAGAGGCAGTGTGCATTATAGTGGAGAGCAGAGATTAAATCTTCATGGGTCAGGCAGAACGTAACAGTTTACACAAAACTGTTTTGGGAATTAAATTTACTTTTGTATCTAAAAGATGGGCTAGGTACCCCAGATCTTGTATGGCTTTTACAGGAAAAAACAACTTTCTGTTACTTAGTTCTGCTCTTAAGCCCTTTGAAATGGCCACATCTTAGCATCTGTCTCACACAGGGAGCCAAGTGCAGGCAGGGTCCTTTCCAGTACCCAGGGAAGTCAATAGAAGGACATAATTTGTTTTTGATTTGAACCTCAGACAAATCAAATGAGGGGGTACATTATGTGGCACTGTGGCATCTAGATTTCATGGTGATTTGTTTATACTGCAGAATAAAAATTAAAAAAAAAAATGCCTGGAGGCAAATTTTGTAATAGCTGTAAATTAATCTCTTTCAACCACACAGATGCAATAGAACATCTGGGAAGAACAATGTGTTCCACAAACAAGAGCTGCCTACCTAAATCAGAGGTGCAGTATGAGTCAGCCTCCATATTATCAGTTGAGCTCTCAAGATCAGTTCAGTGGCTGGAATTATCTGCCTCTGCTCCTGGATGTGCTCTCTGTGTTTGCTTTTGCAGTGCCATCTCTGCTATTTAGATGCCAGTTTTTACTCAGAAGACTTACCTCTCTGAGATTTTTTTTGGTTGACTATATTAGGGAACCTGGATGCAAAATAATAAAAAAAAAAAAAAATAAGAAAGGTTTTTTTTTTTTTTTTACAATTAAGGACTATTTGGGGATAATTATTGCTATTGTGGCTCTAGAAGGTTTGCCCAAAAAAGGGATCAGAAACCAAATCCAGTCAAATCTTCAAACACCTTTGCCTTGTGTAATTGTCTTTGTAGCTATTTAAATCCAGTAGCACCAGCTCCCTAAGGGACCAAAGTTAAGTATTTATTATTTCCTATGGGCTAACATAGGCAATTCTGCACTGCATGTTGGCTCTCATGAATCTTGCTGTTGTACATGAACCCATCTAACATCTAGCCAACAGTAAGCACTGCAGAGCTGGCCTTTGTTAAGAAACAAAAGGTAAAATCTTCATGTTTAGCAAATGTATAAACAGAGAGGGTAGGAGAACTGCATTGTGGCACTGTGTGCTCTGAAAGGAATCACAAATTGATTAGGAAATCTGGATTTTTAAATTATTTTTCAGCGAATCTGCCTTTAACAGTGCTATGCATTTATTCCTGGAAGGTTTGCCCTCTTAGGAGGTTCCAGGATGGACACATTGAAATTAAGTCCCACTCCCCTCAGCCATATATTGTGATTTTCAAATGAAATCTTGATGCATTTATAACTGGGAGAGGGGGAGCCCAAACCCAGCTGCAACAAATTGTTCATTCATGATACAAGGAAAGATAAACTTTTATTGGTTTATGGGTTTGCTTCCCTCTTGTCACTTGGCTGCTTCTCAGGGTCATAATCAGTACCTTTTAACACCAGAATGAAGCAGATTTGGTCCATATGTTTCATACTGAATATTGCTCCACTAGCTGCTCTAGCTGTGCCCATAGCCCAGTGACTCCCATGTCAGTGCTGCAAGAGCCAGTAAACTGCAAGCTCTTGGCAAGAGCAGCAACTATTCCCCCTGAAAATATTGCATTATATTCCCTGGCAGAGGAGAACATCTAATGGAGTACAGATGATGTGAATTAATCTTTGAATAAGCATTTAATTTGTTGGCCAAAATCTGATTGCCCTTTTTTTTTTTCCTAGTGTCCTCATAATGAACATAAAAAGATTACAAGATTTGTGAATGTAGTCAGTCCTCTAGAAGCTCTGGCAGCTGGCTAAGCTTTGACTTCTTTTTTTTTCTTCTTTTAGTAATTAAAAACACTTCTACAAACTCAGAACCTAACCATCATTAAGGGCACTTCCATAGCAAGTTATAAGATTCATAACTAAATCACCTCAGATCCTGCTTGCCAGAGGTGCTAAAGAAAAGTATCCTACTGAGAATTTGTTTGAAAAATGTATTTCTTGCACAGGTTATTAGAATTGAACAGGTTGGCTTGTCTACAAACATATGAATTAAAAGAATTGCTATAGCTGAGATACAGGACACTTAAATTAATCCTTGCTCTTGGGTAAACCCTGCTTTCATTAGGCTCAACACAGAGCACACTGCCATGGCCTAGAGTCAGTCTCACTCCCAAACCATCTCCAGAATGACATGCAGGATAGTGAGAATAGATGCTAGTAATTACACAAAGGTTTGGTTAAAAATACTTGGAATATATTTAAATATTCACAAACTCATCCCCAGAGCAGAAGAGGAGGACCCTGTGGCTTTCTGTACAACAGAAAGCTCTTGCACCAGCAGTGCCTTTGTGTCATGATGGAGAGCCTTAGGGAATAGAGGGAGCGATGAAAGAGAGAAGCAGAAAACCCAAAAGGATTATTTTGAGCTGGGTCCCAGAACCAATGGGGTGTAGGCAATGCATTAGAGGCAAGACTTGTCTTGTCTCAAGGACTTACTGGTGAAATCAGAGGGCTGTGGGTGCTCCCAGTAACACTGGACCAGACTCCATCCTGTTACATATGGGATCTCATATCCCTGATGCAATCCCCAAGGCTCTGATGGGGTGGGACTGGCTCTCATCTCACCTTTCCATGTAGGGCAAGAGGGTGGAAAATTACACACTGCACCTGGTAGGGTCAGTGCCATGGGCAACTGGGGAGGCTCCCTGCGAGAAGCGGAGTTTGCTCTTCCCCATGGCCAGGAGTGACCAAGGTCTGAAGGAATGGGGATGCAATCCAGATCTTGGCATTTAAAAAAGGAGGTGGTGACAGGAAGATTTGCAGGCAACAGATGTGGAAGGAGAAGGAGAGTTCAGGGACAAGGAAGATGGTGCAGTTGGTTCAGGTGCAAAAAGAAGGTGGCTGGAGGCAGCATGGTGGGATCTGGGCCACTTTTGAGAATGTCTTCTCAAAAGGCTATGGATTCTTAATATTTTATTGTTAGTGCACGTGGCTGGTTGGCAGAGTTCAGAGCTATGATTACAGCCCGAGGGCTCTTGTTTGCAGAGGAAGTTTCTCTTGAGCACATGTCTGCAGGACTTGTTTTAAGAGGTGAAAAAATATGGCCTTGGGCTAAAGCCAAGGAGTGGAGCAAAGATAGCTGGGGTTTATATCTGATTCCAACACAAGTGTAAAGTTTGCAGGAGTCATTTAATCTTCTGTTTTCCTTAAAGTAAAATAGAATATCTGAAAGGATATTTTAATGCTGAATTCTTTAGTAAAACACTTCTAAGGTAAAAGCTGCTGGTGAGAGATGAAAAGCTTTGAAAACAGTGTTAACACACCCAGGAGTCCTGTCTTTGACTTTTAACTCTACCCCAAAGGACATCCACGTTTTGACATCTGTCCTCCTGTTTTACAATGTTTGTGCAAGTGTGTTTTCTGTTTTCCTTGGTGTTAAGGTCAGATAAGTTCTTGTCTGATCCAGAAATGTCAGAGTGACTTTGACAGCAAGCTGCAGCAGGGCCCAGCCATGGACATCAGGTGCCTTCTGCAGATCTCCCACTCTGCAGCAGAGTGGTTGGTATGACACAGCTATGTCTGGTTTTGGGACAGTTTAGCTGACAATTAACTGAAAACACTGAGGAAAAGGAAAACTGAGCAACTCTTTTACAGCAGGTACCAATGACAATTTACCTATTTCCGTGTGAATCTCTTAGGATAGAAAAATTCCCAGACCAGGCATGATTTTCAGGGATGCTGAGCACTCCTGTTTCCTTTTCCTTCCAACAGAGAACCAAGACATTAATGTTTTTACTGATAGATGGATTTCTAGCAAGAAACTGCAAGGATGAGAAATGCAATGGCACCATGACTTTCACATATTGACATGATGCAGGAAAATCTTAAAACTTTTGAAGCCCTCTTGTTCTGTCAAAATTAGCAATTTTTGTGTGCACCAGAGTACAATCCAGTTTGCTTTATGCACTTTGCTTTGTGTACCTTGCATCCCTCAGATGTCTGTCCTCTCCCAAATATGAAAATGGTTTCAAGTACTGACTAGACAGGGTTGTCTGTCAGGAGTGGTCAGTGTTCTGCTGGACAGAAAACCTCAACAGACCAGAAAAGCAACCAGAGCCAGAATGGAGCAGTTTTGTTCCTGATATATAAATGGGAGAGAAAGGTCCCAAAATTATGTGACTTTCTTGGGATTGTGCTGGATGTGTGTGGCAGAGCTGCACTATAGCCTTGACCACTGGGATCCAGCATTTTAACTCAGCCACTGAACCACTCTTGGTCTCCCCTGAGGCCTCAGCAGCGGCTGGTACTTCAAATCTTTACTCAAACAGGTTGATTAAATTCTAGCTATCGGGATCTATTTGGCTATTAGTAGAGCTGCTAAGTGTTTCTGTGGGATTTCTCTCCTCTCTCCACTCCCCCTCCCTGAATTTGCTGTGTGCAGTTATGTATCCCTTAAGTTTTCCTTGAAAACTCTGATTCATTCAGTTCCATGAATGCACGATTCACAGAGGAGCTGACACATTTCATTAAGCTCAGCACATTGCGTAGAAGTTTGGCAAAGGGTCCATGGGCTTTATTCAACCCAGACACACTGTGTGACCAGCTGTCACAGACTGGTTGTAAAATTAGAATAAAACCATAAAACACAGTTGAGGGAAAGGAAAAAATTGCCCCTCTCTGGGGACAGCACTTTGAGCTGTGACAAAGGATTCACAGAGCACGTCAGACACCGACACACACAAAAGCTTTGTGCAGAACTCAGCTGGTTTCATTTTTCATGCTTGCACATTACACCATGAGTAGGTGCCATGGTGTAAAGGATTCACCTTGTTCCAGCGTCAGCACGAAGTTCTGCTTTTAGCTCAGCTGCCCAGAGCACATTCCGTCTTTGGAGGAACAGTGTTTCCTTTTAACCAGGCTGCAGGGCTGAAAACAAGTGGTAAAAACTTGCTGTGCTATACGAGAACAGCACAAGAATGGAGAGCTGTGCAGCGCTTTTTCCATAAATGAGCTAAAATGTGTTTGCTCAGATCTGTCACAGCCTGTGTGAGGCACTCAACTGTCCCTGCTCTGCAGAGCTCTTTCCCCCATTCCTGGAGGCAGCACTGTGGGTGTCCTCACCCCACTGATGCACCTGGGGATGTTCTTGCAGCTCCTCTGGCCTCAGTGGCCCAACCCAAGCAAAGAGATGAGCCCTTTTTTTGTCTCCATGTGAGAAATGAGGCTGGGTGGCTGCTGCAGTGCACTTAATGCATGGGATGCTGCATTAGGAGAGAGGGAGCTGCACTGCAGCTGTTCCAGGCATCTTCTGGGGGGAACATCAGGAAGGAATCAGCTGGTGCATGAGACTTGTTATAGCTGATTAAATGGCTAAGGAGTCATTGCAGAGTTGAATTGTAGGACTTGACTGCATTTGGGAGCTCACTTGGAAGCAGTGAGAGATTGACTTGTAGAGCACCCATATTTTCTCTTGATAGAGATCTTGATTGTCGGAAACAGGAATTCCCAGATTAGTGGAAATGAAGAAACTGTGGCCTGAGCTGGCCACAAACAGCAAGTGAGTAACAGAGCTGGGGTGAAATTTCCATTTCCTGACTTTCACTCTTGCAGTTTAACTACAAGGTGTGATTTTTATTGTCACTGTTAGGTAATTGGATGATGTACAAGTAGGTCATAACTTTGGCAAAGAAATAATTGGAGACCTCAAGGCCCTGATAGGTGACTACTCTAGATGCTAACAAAATTAATTAATCAACAGTGATAAAATTATATCATGACAGAGTAAGTGAAGCATGCAAACAGCATGACTGGAGCCTGTTTAACACCTGCTGTTTACCTTGATTCATGCCAACTTATAAAATGGGTTAAACTATTTCCATTCCAGCATCCTGTTCTCCACGTGGGAGAAATTTTGTCTAATAAAATCTGTTCAACTGAAAATTATTTTTGAGGCTCTTTAATCTCTTTTCTCAGTGGTAAGGAGGTGCAGTTCTATGTCCACACTGAATTCTGACCCCTCTGGAGCAGAGAAGGTGGCAAAGTATACAATGTGGAAATTATTTTCTTATGTTTCTTTTTGCTTCATGGTAGGACTGGTTCTGCTTTGGGATGGATGGATGGATGGATGGATGGATGGATGGATGGATGGATGGATGGATGGATTTGGGCCTGGGAAAGGCCAAGCAGCTCTATTTCAGCAGGTACCCTGCATTTTTCTCTTCCTAGGTATAGTAAGATGCTATGAATCTAATGTACAGCAGAATTTATTAGGCTAATCCAGCATGGTTCACGCTGTGGAAACAGATGTGGCTTTTTGCAATACATAGACAGAGGTTTCACTTACAGCATTATTCTATTCATAAATGTATTAAAAAATCCTCACAAACAAAAAAACCCCACTTCTGATAATGGGAAACAGTAGGCTGGTACTGATTCCAAAGAGTGCATCTTGATTGTGAACATGGGGCTGATAATATGAGGAAAACTAAATTATGATCCAGGAGTTTAAATTGCCTTATTCAGAAGGAGGTGACAATTTTCAGCATCTCACAGGATTTAACCCTGCAAGGGATATCTGGCATTTCTCAACATTTCTACTGTGCTTCTATAAATTCTCAACACAAGATTTTTTTAATAAAACTTTTTTTTAGTTGAATACCAGGTACAGACACACTGATGCTCACAGAGATACTTTTCCCTGAGGAGATCTGGGATTTCATGGGATCGTTTTTTCCCCTTTCCTTTTTCTATTTTTTTTTTCCTTATTCCAGCCAGGGATCTGAGGAACAAGGCTGTTTGTCAGGCAGGGTTTTTGTCTGAAGTGGAATGTGCCTGGCCTTCCCAATGAAAGGCTTTGAACTGGGCTGCCTGAGGGATCTCACAGCCAGCTCACCCTCTCTGCTGTGGCTGGCGTGGCAGGATGGATACACAGGAGTGCAGGCTTCTGGGGGAGTGGAGCCAGCTGGAGTGTCCTCTTGACTGAGCAAATCCTGGAGGGAGTCCTTATTCTGCTGGGAAGAAACGGTGGGATTGGCTTTACTCCCAGCCTCTGGCAGAGGGACCTGTTGGTTTAGGGAGGGTTTTGTCCCCAAGCACTTGTGATGTGGCTTTGCTGTGTCTGGGGCAGAGCTGTGCTGCCCAGGAAGGGGGCCAGGGGAGACACTCCTGAAGTGAGAGTGGTCCTAAAATTCCTTCAGTGGAAACATCAGTTCAACAAACCCCAAATCTGAGGAGTATGGATATAACTTTGTGTTACTTGGGCTTCTCTTCTTTGCTTGTTCTCTGCTCCCTCAGCATTTCAACAAATCCCTTCAGGCTTTGTGTCTTACTGTGCATTTGCCGCTTTTTATTTTTCCTGACAGGTGTTTGTATGGGTGCTGATATGATCAAGTGTTTAGTGTCATTCCCAGTCCTGTTATTAGACGTTTTTAAGTGCATAAAACTGCCTGGCTGGCACATGCAGTATTGCATTCCCTGAAGATTCAGATGGGTTTTTTGCATCCTGTGAAGCATCTTCCCCAAGTAGGTAATAGATGAATTTTCCCCTTTAAACAAATAATACCCGCAGAAA